GTTCTGCATGGAGCACTGGGTGTTATACGCAAACAGTGAATCATGGAACACTACATCAAAAAGTAATGATGTAATGTATGGTGATTAACATAACAATAAAAAATTTAAAGAAAAAAATAAAATAGATGGTACATGATAAATTTAAGGAAATATTAAAAAGAAAAAGAAATGTCTTGTCTCCTCATTTTGCAGGACTGAGAGGAATGAGGAGCAAAAAGGCAATACAAGAAAGGGCGTGGCTGCAGGTGGAGATGATCTGCATGCTGGAAAGGGCGGCTGCTATCAGGAGCGCACGGCAAGGGACCTGCTACAGTAAAAACACACATCACAACCATCTCAAAGGGTGTTCTGCCAGCCCAGGAAGATCTTTATACAAAGCAATTAACCTTAGGTTCGAGGACCACTTCTGCTTGGGTGTCAGCTATTAAGCCCGTACAATAAAGTTTAGACAAATTACATAATATTCTTTAGACAGAGGATCGTAAAAGTGTATATACTGCCATGCAGGAATCATTGAGCAATTTTCTTCTGGGAAGATAAAGTACATGAGAGAAAAGAGAACAAATAAATAGAAAAAGGCTAAAAAAAATATGTCCTTAAACATTTCATTTCAGCGGAATTGAAATTGAAGATGCAATTTGATACTTGTGCAAGAAAACTTAAACCAAACTGTCAATACTGGATATTTCTCTTAAATACTAACAAAAAGTACAGAGTCTCCTTCGCAAGTCTTTATGAGACAAGGATGATGACTTTCTGCCGCGAAGGAAGAGTTACTAGAGATTCAATTGAGATGAACCCAAGAAACACCCTTATTAAACCATAAATCCTTGCTGGCAACAGATGTGATGTTAGCTTTGGAACCAGCAGTATAAACAACTTATTCCAGAGAAAATACCAGGATGAAAGGTGCCGGGATTATTAGACAGTCTCAGTGAGGCTCCTACTCACAAAAGAGCCAATTTCTTTTCTTTGTCAGAGAGATGTAGGAGAAGAGGGGCTCACTGAAGATTAATTTGCGAGCCATGGACTGCGGAGACCGTTTGGGGCAGAGGCCGGTATGCCTGGGGTGGGGGGGGTTCAGGTTGCATTAGTCTAGGCTTGAGGCGTGATGACGAGGCTGACGTGGAGATGTTGAGAAGGGGAAGCACTGATGGGATGTGCAAGGTCTGAATGTGCCAGCCCTGTGATGTGCCTTGTGGGGTCCTTCCCTTTGCAACTGTGGGGCTCTCAGGACGCCCTTCCCTGTCATCAGCAAGCCCCTTTCGCCAGCCACGTTCCCCCGTGGCTTTTCACCTTCATGCTGTTTTGTACTTGGATTCCATGCCTCCCACTCCCACCTCCCTTTAACTCGTCTTTCCTTTCCTTTTCTGATCTTCCTTCCCACTCTCCACGTGACAGTATTACCCGGGGTGGTGTCCATTGTAAACCTCCTTTCACACCTTCCCAGCGTGCTTCTCTGTCTGTCTCGGAGGACGTGGCAACTTCCGTGGCCCTCTCCCGAGCTCCATGTGCCCATGGGGCTGGGAGGAAGGGGAATGTTTTTCTAGCTTCCTCTTGCTACTTGCAGGTGATTTCTTCCCATCCCCATATAGAAACCCCTTTTCTTTTTAAGCATGTGCCATCTGGCTATATTACCTACTCACTTCTATATTCTCTGCCTTCCCCCAACTTCCCAGTGAGATTCACTTCCATTAGGGGCTCTGGAATTCCGTTCAAAATCTTCCGGATGTCCCGTTTCATCATTATCCCGGTAAAGCTCAAGGTTGTGACAGATGACTCAGCCAACCTCCAGCCTCATACCTCGTCATCTTCAAAGAACTGAACTCCATCCACTTCCGTTACTCACTCCCCATGGCTGTACCCAGGAGTTCACTCTCGCTGAGGATTATGTCGGACACATTCTTTGTTCGTGTCTACTCCTATTGCTTTCTACTTTCCAGGCAGTTCCCTCTGTTACTCCCTCCTCATCTGTTATTCTACTTCAGTGAAATGCCCAGTCCACTGGCTCCTCTATTTTTTCTACTCCTCACCTTGACTTCCCTCTTATTTTAAGATGGATTCAATAATCCTTAATTGGAATGATGATCTTACAAAATCCTCAATTCTGGTGCCCTTGCTATTTCTGCGCCACCCAACTTCTGCTAAATTCATCCGATCCTGGATGAATTAACAAGAGAGGAAGGGAAACATTTGGTGAGTTGGAGCCACCCCAAGTTCATGATTCTCATCCTCAGTGCTGTTTGGCAATCCTTCCGTGTGCCCAGACATTGGCTGTATTGCCCATTCCCTTTCTCTTTAAAAGGCCCCACCCTACTTACTCCCAGCAGCTTGCTTCCTTCTCTCCTTCTCTGGGGAAACATATGCCGTGTGGCAGGAACTCCTTCAGTTTTCTGCCATTTTCTCTGCTCATCCCTGTACATCCCCATCTCAGTGGAAGAGGCGTCCTCCCTCTGCCTTTCACTCTTCTGTTCCTGAATCCCATCTCTCCTTGTATCATCAACCTTTATCTCCCTATTCACTCTCCCACTCCCCAGCACATGAACCAATCAGTCCCTCTCAACACGAAAAACAATATTTCGCTAATCTTGAAGCTGTTCGCCAAGACTGCACTTGCTTCACCTCACCAAGTTCCAATGGACTATTAAAAAAAAAAAGAGAGAGAGAGAGAGAATAGGGCCAGGAACAATAGGAAGGCGGCTGCATGCAAAGTGTTGATAATCTGGCTACAGAAACACTAAATTGAAAACGTGCTTTGAACACACTGGGTAGCAGGTTTGCAAAAATTGAAGTGAGCTCATAGTTCTGACCAGCACATTGGAGAGAGAGAAAGGAAACATTGGAAGATAAAATGGTGGTAGATACAGCTTCTTCCTGATCACAACGTGGACCTAACAGAATTATTTGTTAAAACCAGATAACTGAACAAAGGAGGAGAGAGACCGAGCAAGATCATGTGAGAGTCAAGTGAAAGGCAGAGAAGATGCCTGTGAGTTAGGGTGGAAAGGGGAGTCGTGGGTTGGGAGGGCCAAGGACGAAGCTATGCTTCGAAAGGATGTAGAGGAGGGAGCCAGCTGAGCTGCCTTAGAATCTTCATTAGAATGTCATACGATGCTACTGTATTTCGAACATTTCAAAGTCTTTTCATGTCCGAGGGTTCGTTTCCATCCTACCGTAGCCCTAGGAGACAGGTATTACGGGCGATTGGAAAACATGGGCGATTGCTTTTCAAAGAAGCAAAGGCGAGAACAAATGTGCGAATGAGGAAGTGTGGCTCGTTCAGGAAGGAGGTGATGAGGAAGAAGGGAAAGAGGGTTGCATTAAAGCACTGTAAGGGACTAATCCGAGAAGGCAAGAGGGAAAGCAGTGCGGGTGGGTGGGGCTAGGTTTTGTGTTAAAAACAGAAGCCAAGGAAAGGGCACGGGATTTCCTCTTCCTCCCCGCCCCTCCTGCCCCCTTCCAAAGTTGCTGAGGAAGGCAAATCCTGGAGGCGACTAAGGCACAAACGTGCCAGAAAAGCAGAGATTCCTGGTCAAGGGTCAGTGGATGAGCTTTAAGGGACTAGAGAACTAAAATCTTACACCGAACTTTGTGGGTTCAGTGCTAGTTTGGGGGTGGTCGTGGTGAAATGAGA